AGTTATCGAATGACTTGTGTGTCATCCAAAAATTTTCTCTTTACTCGGCATCAGAATATTCTATCAGAACCACTCTGTCCCACCAGTCTTTGCTCCTGACTTGCATCCAACATGTACGGGAAGCCCTGGGTAGCAGAGAGGGCACAAAGTGGAGCTTAGCAGAATTTGCTCCAGGACCATACTATAGTGTTGCTTGCCTTCAAATAACACCACAGTCACAAGGAATAGTATGCATTACTCGTGGAACCCTCCTATAGCATGTATGAAATATACAGCACTGTAAAGTTGTCCAATTCACCACTCAACATTTTGCCTTTTTGTCAGCAGTCGAGTTTTGGTCTATGACGTAAAAGGTCAACCAGAAAAAGCCCAGTACTAACAAGCCGACAGGAGCCATATCGCCACCTATCGCAGTGAAGCCAGACATACTTTGCTCAATAAATTGATTCCTCTCCTGTGCATGTATATTGGGACTGAGGCAGTAGTCTGATTAAATGGCATAATTAAGCTATAACTGCAGCTCGACTAAGTTGTGCGTGTAAACGTAGTGACTGATCACTTTGCAAGATATACTGCCTTTTCCTACCCAGAATGTTTATTTATTTATTTATTTATTTATTTATTCCCTCCTCCACCCCCCCCTCTGCGGAGGACTACTTTATTTGTATTTATTTATTTTATTATTAATTAATTTATTTAATATTTTTATTTACTTCCTCAAAAGAAGGAGGGGGGGGGAAACAAAGGAGAAGAAGGGGGGGGGAAACAAAGGAGAAGAAGGGGGGAAGAGAGAGAGAGGGAGAGAGAGGAGAAGAAGAAAAAAAGGGAGACAAGAAAAAAACAAAACAGATAATCTGCTTCCATGTCTGCTGAAAAGAGAAAGACAACATACATCTGTACTAATCACAACGACCATCAAACATTAAATGTTGTTGAACAGCACACACAACCAGCATTATAACACATGCCCAGAAACAACAGCCGGTCAAGACAGTGTGTGTCCGTGAGCACGTGCACGTGAGCACCTGTGTGCACACCTGTGTGTGTCAGCGCGCTGGTGTTCCTAAGGTTTCTCCATGTAAATGTCTAGTAGTGTGTGTGGGGAGCCACAGCCCCGCCCACCCAGGACATGAACCCAACACGGAGGAGACCTGGGCCCCAGACATCCAGAGGCCCCCCAGGGCACGGGAACCCCAGGAGGACCACCGCAGGGACAATTGCAGCCCCCACCCAGAAAAGGGCAGAGGAGCGCTCCGGAGGGGGGCCATCCGGCAACCACATCACAGGAGCCCCAGGGGGCCGTGGCGGCGAGCACGCAGTCTCCGTC